TTATAACTTCATTGTTTAAAATTACTCAGTATATTTGTCTACGTGGAAGCAGACCTCGCTTTTTCTATAAGATATAATTGTGAGCAGTCGAGGACATTACATAGACAAGTCTGTTGGGAAATAAGATATACATTTACTGCGCAGTATTTCAGTGCTACTTTCCTTAATACGCTAGTATTATATAGAACTTAGAAATTCAATACATATCGATTATTACTTCAGAGTGTGCTAGTAAAAGATTTGGATTTTAAATCAGATTTTTTTTTTAATTAATACTAGGACTGTGGAGGAAAAAAACCACCTGATTTCCAGAGTACTATATGGGATTAATATTTCAACATTAACAATATTGGCATTTGATTGTAATAATTTTTACCTCTATTTTCTACCTGTTGTATTAGTGCTGAAGTTTAATTTGAATCTGAAAGCTTGGTGAAGTGGAAGTACTGGGTTGATGATGTGGGAGTTTAGTTTCCAGGACAGACCAGTCTTGGTATTTACTTCATATGTGTTTCCATAAATGGTTGATTCTCTTGTAATGCTCTCCATCCTGGTCACCTCTCAGATTTGTTTTACAACCCATGAACATGCTTTAGGAAATATGAAATACCTGCATATACATTACTTTTACAATTTACAGCATTATCTCTATTAAAATCCAAAAAAGTAATGATTACCTGCACATTCGTATGCTTAAAGTTATGTGTACCTCTTGTTTTCGTTATGGTAGAGGAAAATATAATCCCTTAATTCCTTTTTTCCCCATAAAGTAGGAGTTTGCATCTTATCTAAAAGAAGGTATAGCTCTTCATAGTCTGGAAATGTTGTACCCTGTCACATATAGTAGGAAAAAAATCCCAGAGCCATATATATATGTGTGTGTGTGTGTGTGTGTATATATATATATATATATATATATGCAAATATATATATATATGTATTTGCCTCTGCTAGGAAAATACAGCAATAGGAAAAGGGAATCTACCTTTAAAAGTTTATGTAGGGAGGGAGGGAGACGCAAGAGGGAAGAGATATGGGAACATATGTATATGTATAACTGATTCACTTTGTTATAAAGCAGAAACTAACACACCATTGTAAAGCAATTATACCCCAATAAAGATGTTAAAAAAAAGTTTATGTAATAGGAAAATATTATATAAAGAATATATAATATGCACAAAAATAGCCTAACCTCAAATATTTCTTCAGGAAGAAGTGAAACATTTTTTTCTTCACAAATCAGAGCTGTAATAATAAGGAATGCTATTACTTAATTGATTTTAACAGTACTGCACAAAAGCAGAAGAGTTGTGCTTTAAGAAGTCATCCTATGGGCTAATGGCCATTTGGTTGTCATAAAAGTCCTTTATTTAGCCCTCTCCACAAATAAGCGCACAGCAGGAGAAAGGACACTAGTTAGAGTGACTGGGGGATAAGTAAACAGAAGGAATGGCTGGGAGCAGTGTCATCTGGCAGAGAGCTTATTTCCTGAATCCCGTGGATCTGGTTAAAAGCCAACAGAGATGCCAATATGCTTCTGCTCAGTAAGTGCTACCAGGCTCCAGGCCACTAGGCCCGGAGGCTTGCGCGCGGTGTCCTATCCAGGCGGTGCCTGCGAAGCTGCTCTGTGCCCGCGATGACCTGAGCCGGTCATGCAGAGTGACTTTCTCCTGCTCCACCAGCATCCCTTCGTTTCCATCTTTTGCTGCTGACCTCCGGGCGGTTCAACGGCCTAAGCTGAAGGCAGGAGGAGCCACCGTGTGCGCTTCCTGGTTGATCCTGAACTTGTTTCAAAGCCAGGCTGACAGTCCCCAGGCTGGATTTCTCTGTGAGTTGCTGTCATGTGTGCCCCCGGCATACCCGTGTCTTCAGAAGGGTGGGAAGACGTGAAGGCTGCAGACCCGGAAGAGGGGACCATGGAGGCCCCGAGAGCAGGTGCCGGTAAGCTGGACCAGAGTCTGGGGCGTGGGAATCCCACGTCATTGTTTCTTCTGGTTGGACGCAAGTCTGTGTTTAACGCTCCCTTTCTCTCTGTCTTTCCTGAGTAAATATTCCCAGTGTGTGTCAGGTAGGATGTGATTTTGTTCCATTTTCTCAACAGAGCCAAGTTTCCAGCTACCAACTTGATCGTCAGTCTTTCTCTCTGAAAAGCCATGATGAGATTTACGAGATAGCCCTAAATATTTTAAGATGACTAATCAAATTTGTGATTTGTTTTCTTGCGTAATAGCTAAGTCCAGAAACATGTAAATATTAAATGTCACTGTTCTCTGAAAATAAGGGAAAACAATAACTAGTTGCTTAATTGTGTGCATGACTTTTGTTTGTAGTCAATGTTTTCTGTGCTTTGCGATCGCCTGTTCAAACAAAGAATGAGAAAGACATAAGTTGGAGTCATTATTAGCAGGAAATCAGTCCCCAAATAGGAAGTTTGTGTCACTTTTTCCAAGCAAGGGATCCTGAGTGCTTGTGAAAGAGCTGAAGGCTTTCCACGAGCATAGGCCTTGATGCTGACCACAGTGCCATAGGTCGATGGTATATATGAAGCAAGCTTACCATTGCGGTCGATGTTAGGTCTCGTACGTTCTCTCCTAAGAGAAATTGGTCTGCTGGTCTTTGGAGTGGCAGTGGTGTCACAGCTGAGTGGCAGGCCAGGAAACATGCAGCCCCAGAGAGGGATACGGGTGGTGCAAAAGGGACAGAGTGGTAGAAATGTTTTCTATGAGTAAATATTGTTAACATAAATTTCTGAATTGACGGATGAAGATGGGATTATTTTTCCTACTTACGCGTGGACAGTGGCCTCCGTGAAGGGCACTCATTACTCATTCTTGGAGTATGTGGTACCCAGATATGAGTGAAAGGTCCTTTAAAACAAGGTCAACCTTAGCCCCTCCTAATTTTGAGGTCCTGTTTTGAATCTGTAATTAGGAAAGCTGTGTGTACCATTTCAGAGACCTTACTTGGTTTATCAAACATCTTTGGTTAGAAATAAAATTAGTTACCATGTAGGGGACTCAAGATGGTTACAGCAAATTAACATAAATGTATAATAGATATACATGTATATCATGTGTATATTATGTATATATATATACACATATATATATATATACATGTATAGATATTAGATGACTAGCATTCAAATGATTTTATCATTTGAAACAAGCCCATTCCAGGTGCTAAATGAGGAAAAAAAGAAATAGGAGAAGAGAAATACAAAAAAGAAATATCTCAAAAGTCAGGCACGACGATAGCCTCATGTGGTGTAAGTAAGTGCTTTAATTCCGTTGCCTATATAAGCGTTGCCTTATTCCGTTGCCTTATAAGCCTATATAAGACCCACAGACTCTTGAATCGAGCTCTGCAGTGACAGGCTCAGCAGGTGGACTTGGGTACATTGGTTGTTGGAGGTTTTGATTCTCCTTCCACTGGTTCTCCTTGGTATCCGTCCGTCTCTAGACCCTGCTGTTTGTGCGTCTTTATGACAGAGGCACAGTGGAAGACACCAATCCAAGCCCCGTAAGTTTCGCCCCGTAAACCTGTGTGGAGAATCGTCACCGGCCCCACACGTGGCACGTGGAGGTGGATGAATGTCGGCCCCCGGCCTCACCAGTTTCCACAGCAAATCACTGGCACTTTCACGAAAGGTGGTACCACTTTGAGGCGACCTACGGATATAATCACAGCAGCTCCCACCTACCAGGTGTCATGGAAAGCTGGGCCTCCCAGTCACACGAAGCCAAGTTCAAATCCCAGCTCTGCTGGTGGTAAACCACGTGACCTTGGGCAAGTGAACTGGCTTCTCTGAGCCTCATCTGTAATATGGAGTAAATAATATTGACTTTGCCGTATGCCTGTGAAAAATAAATGAACACAATTAACATGCCTATTTATCACAAGATTTGACAGAGATTCATCCACCTGATGTTTATTTCCCTTTCTCTTTCCAACCAGCAACCATGTGGCCAGTTTTTTTATTCAAGCAAGTTTATGAAAGCGTACTTGGAAGTTTGGGGTCAAGAAAAAAAAAAAAACAAAGATTCTAAGTAGAGGTCCCAAAGCTGTATTTTTTAAGAGGAGAAAACAATGTTCGCATTAGTCCATTTGTTTCAGGCTGATATCTTGCACTTGCTGTGGTGACCATGAGTGAGCCATAGTTCAGTATTAATGTTTTCCTTATCTGGTAATTATTTCTGACCAGTATCTATAATTTAAGTAAACACAGTGCATTTAATTTAAATAAACAACACCTGGGTCTTAATTCTCTATTTTCATTTGATCATTTCATCTTCTAAAACAAGCTAGAAGCAGTCTGCCCCGACTTTTCAATGATATTCCCTAGTGGATTAGACTAGAGAAGTTCGTTGTTTCTGGAAACTGAATGATATACCACAATAAACATGACATTGGAGCAGTGACATCATTTCAAAGCAGCTGTTCTGTGGTATGTGGTCCAGGGAGATCAAGAAATGTTGGGGAACTGGTGAGAAGATGGTGATCCCGTCTCAGCGAGAAAAGTCTAGTGGACCGTGAGTTGTGATTGCACAGTCATCAGAGACATACATCTTTAAAAATACTGGAGCTGTGAGCCCACCCCATTCCCCTCGACTCCCGGCTACACCAGTTTGGGTTGTCCTTTTGCCCCCTGGAGACGATCCCCCGTGAGCGCCTGGCTGGCCGGCTGGCACAGCTAGACAAAGCGCTGTGTCCTACTTCCGGCAGGTGCTCACACACTCCTGGCTTAAGCTTCCTTCGGCCAGTTGTCTTTGGGCTGAGTAAGGTTTCAGGTAAGAAGACTGAAGAGGGAATGATGAGTTTCACCGGGCTTAGCAGGACCACGGCCAGGGTTTGAGATTGGCACCAAATCATCTTAGGTGAGTGCTCTGGGGTCCGCTGCTGGCCTTTGTCATCTTAGCCCCTGGGTGCCTCCATGAAATGTCACTGGGGAGATAAGAGGAGGGCCTCTTCAAGCCTCCGCCTGAGTTTTCTCTCCAGTGCTGGCTTTAAGGGACCACTGCGTTTCAAGTCTCTGCCTGCAGGAAGGTAGCATCATCTGTGCATTGTTTCAGGAAACGGTTAATCGCGGACCTACTGGAGTTTTGGTGTTTGCTAGAGTGGGGACCTCTTTAGCATAGCACAGAGCACTATAGATCAGTAATGCGGTAATCATTGAGAATCTGCACACTGCAGAGATCTGTTTTGATGACAGCAGCACTTATGGCCTTGATTAGTGTCACCGTTGTATAATGTTGGACACTACAGGCTTTTTTTTTTTTTTTTTTTAGAATGCAAGGACCGCAGGGGCTGTTATTTAACATTTCTTTTGCACTTCCGTGGATTACTTATTGCGTTGTGAATTTGCTGCATTGCTAGCTAGAATTTAGTGATCTGATGCCAGCAGCCTCTGTTTAACTCCTCTGATGCTGCTGTTATGTTTGCTGGGTTTCTACAGCTTCTACTCCTTCATACACTGCACTCAAGAACAGGTAAACTAAGCTCTAATATTAATCTTATGCATAAATGTAAAATTACCAGAATATTTGTTTAATTATCCAAAAGAGTAAGATATTAAAATGCTTCATTTAGATTCTATCAGTAGAGAATAAGGAATGTTTTGCTTTGAACATGGAAATTACACAGATATATTATCATTTTGAAATGCAGTGGTAATCCTCTACTTGCATTGTATGAAGTTATTTTCATGTTTTAAATGAATATCTGAAGTGTACATTTCGTTGTCTACAATTTAGTATTTAACTCTCGACTTGATATCTGTACAATAGACAATTAATTTAGAAAGTATGTATTTTCCTTTCTGATTGACCCAAGGCAGTTGTTTTCCCTGTTTACCGAATTTTACTGAAATCAGAAAGCTTCATAGTTTAATCTTCTTAAAAACAGAAAGTTGTAAGTTTGTCTGTAGATTGTTATTTCGAAGTGTTTAGACAAAGGTTGCTGAGGCCAGGTTTCCCGTGACCAGCAGCCCTGATTTTAGAGCACATCGTGGAAATAACTATGTTTTTACGTGACATTAAGCTGTGGACTAAAGGAAAACCTGCTTGAATAAGGGGACCAGAGAGCCTAGACAGAAAGAAGGAAAGGGCAAAGCAGTGCTTTGGGTGTGGCAGGTTCGGGTGTGTGGCCTTGGACGACAGAGCAAGCCCTCCTGGTCTCTGTTTCCATCTGCCAGTTTGATAGACTCTGCTGGTCTTCTCAGTAGGGATGGAATCACATTTTTCAGGTGCTCAAGATCGTCTGATGGTGATGTCTGTGCAGAAAGAGAGCCTGCTGTTAAGGTTTTAAAGGGGTGCAGTCTTCTTAATAAAGGGGGACCATAGAGCTCTTTTGGCCTTTCCTTCCCTTCACAGCGTTTTAGCAGCTGAGGCTTTTCTGAAAGGGAGCTTATGGCCTTTTTGAATTAAACTGGTAAATCTCTGGGCTCCGTTGAAAATCTTTTGCCAAGTAGGCGTTGAGGAGTTTGCAGTGTCCTGAGGGCACCTGCTGGCAGACTGCCGCCCAGGGAGGGGAGGGGTGGGAGGCGCCGCGTTCCCGCGGCAGCAATGCGGTGCTGATGCAGAGGTGCAGGTTCTGGACACCTGCCAGGGATGCGGGTCGTCCTCCCTCCCAGGCAGAGTGTGTGCTCTTAGGGCAGCTTCCGCCTGCTCTTCCCAGCAGAGGATTTTCAAGAGGTCCCCTTCTGCGGAGGGCAAGCTTAGGATCCGTAGCCCAGAGGCAACTGGAAGAGCAGCTTCCAGCCACCTCCGCCTCGAGAAAGTGTGAAGCAGTTGTTTCTGCCTGTCCAGGGCTAGTTCCCGTCCGTGAGTCTAGACACAGTAAATGTTGCTTTGGGGAGAACAGAAGGATTCGATTGCAAATTGAGCTGCGTGCTTGCAGGGTGGCCGATCGTCCCTCGCTGATGAAGGTGGTGAATCCTGTGTTCGTGGTCATCATGAGTGGATCTGGGTGACGGACAGCCACCCTTAGGGGAAGCCTGAGGCCCGGATGGTTCCACTCCCACACTGTGTGTGAGCGATGAAGGGTGAGCAGCGTGGTGGACTTCTGTGTCCAGCTCTGAGGAGCCTGTCTGTGTGACTTACAGTCTCTACACATGCACACAGGAGGGCAGTGACTTTATGAGTAAAGTGATTCTCCGTCAGGCAGAAGATGGTCCACTCAGGTCTCTCCCAACTTTCTGACTTTACGTGGTGCAGTTAGCCGTTGTGCGTGGTGGCAGAGCTCTTCAGGAAAAGGAAATGTTCTCATTTTCAAGTGCTGTCTGGGAATGTTCCTGAGGAGAGCTCTGTCAGAGGAGTGAAGGAAGGATTTGGGAAACAAAGACGAAAATCTCAGTGAACAGCAAGCATATATTCTTCCCTATACTTCTCCAGATAATACACAGACACTGTTAATAAATAAAATAAATACTTTCTGTTCTTCTCCATTTTCTAAGGCCAGGGAGATTGGGAAGAAGCACGTCAAATTACAACATAGAGGAATCAATGAAAGAACTAGCAGTTATCTTGTAATAATATCAATAATTAGGAGACTTAATAATCTTGCCTGTAAATTGCAGGCTAATGAAATGGGTTTAGTTTTTAGACAGCCTGCTTCAAGTAGGCCATCTTTAGTCATTAAGAAGGGAATGGTCGTAATCATGTAATGAGTTGGTCAATTTGTTGCAGAAATGCAACCAAGAACTTTGAATGCCTAGGTAATTTAAATGAGTTGTTTCAGAGGAGGTTTTATATGAGTTGTATATGTTTTAAAGACCTGGAAGATAAATTCTGACAAACCCTAAACATTGAACACATTTTAAAGCTGACTTCAGAGAAAGGGGGCATATTGATAGTAACAGATGGTGGATTCTAGCAAACATGTTCTCAATAGGATAAGATCTGTTATAGATTTTAGACTTACTGATAGCTTTTGGAGGGTTTTTTTTCCGTAACAAGAAGCTGTTAGCCTTGCAATGTTTTTTTCTTTCTCTCTCTTTTTTTTTTTTCTCTAGAGAATGCTTAGCCCTTGAAGCTTACTCTTAACTTCTAAGCAGGTCCAAATTGGAACAATTTTTTATCCACTTTGAAGCTTTACTTTTATTTAAAGAGTATGTTTTCTCATAACTTATTTCGATTATATAAAGTTTATTGCTTCTTCTGTACTTTCCCTTTTAGCAAATGTCTTTGAAGTCAAGGCACTTGTCAGTGAAGAGTAGCACATCGGTATATAGTATTTCTCTTGCCTAGTGATATTCAAGGCTTTTAAAAATATGCTTCATTAGAGTCTTGGTAGCTCACGAAATTGCTTTCTGTTATGAATTCCTTTGCCCTCTGTATGTAACCACCAAGTTCATTTTCCCTGAGTACGGTTTCTGGTTTTCCTGAGTGTCTAGCTTAAATAGGGGTCTTAATTCAAGCCTCCCGCTGAGGCTGGGGCCCTGCAGGAGGGGATCATTCCGGGAGCTAGAGAGAAGGCACCTGGGCAGTATAGCAGGACCCAGGCTGAGTCACTCCTTCATCCAGACTCGTGAATCCTTTGCTCTTAATTTGGGTACGGATCATGGACCCTTAAGAGAAGTAGAGGATGCAACGTGCTCTCCCCAGAAAAACACTTAGGCACACAAAACTTTACACACGATCTTAAGGATCGTATTGCTCTCCTGGGTCTAATCAGAGACCGTGTACAAGGGCTCACATAACCCAGATTATAAAGCTTTCCTTAAAGATCACAAAAGCAAAGTACTTGACCTTCGGTGGTAGAAAAAGGCCTGCCTACCTGAAGGTAACCCATTTCTGTTCCACAGTTTGTGGATAAACCCGAGGTCCTCCAGCCACTGTGTGGGAATGGGGGAGAGGGGCAGGGCCCCTGCCAGTGGGTGCTAGCTGGGGTGAGCAAAGACCCTGGCCCGCCGGAGGTGGGCCCCAGGGCCCAGGCCTGGGAAGACCTGCTTCAGACTGCTGTTGCTTAAAAAAACTTAATTACCATTTGATATTTTCGTGAGCTCTGTTATTGCAGGTCATAGTAGAAAAAGAAAATCCTTTCCAAGCTTAACTCTCTACGAGATAAATAAATGATTAGATATATTGATATAGGTAAATGGATTAGGAATGACTGAAAATTCAAATATAACAAAGCATGCCAGCATTATTTCACTGCACCTGGAGGGCCGGCCAGGGCTTGTTTCTGTTCCATACGGCTTGACAGAGACTAGTTTTTTCCTGACAAGTTAAGTCTCTTTGACCAATATACTGTGATGCTCTGATTTCAGAGGCTAGTCTTATTCTAGCTCAGACGCATAGTTATAGAAATCTCTGTGTAAGGTTTGCTTTAGTCTATGAGATTTTACTGTAATCGGCTATTCAGTGAAGGCATGAAAGTGATACAACAATTGAGCACAAATTAAAAGTCTCCAAAATATTGGTTTAATCTGAAGGCCCTTAGAGGACTGGTGAGAAACCCAGGTTTTGTCCTGAGGAGAAGAATCCCTCTTTGGAGTTTTTGCCTGAAGTCGTGCCTATTGAGTTTGCTGTACAGAATCTCTGAACACACTGTGTTTAGTCTCCACCAGCCCTGGCTGCTTTTACAAAGGTCGATGGCGGTGGTACGTTGCTTGTGTCTGTGACTTAAAAGCACATCTAGATATTTGATCTCAAATGTGATGCAATGGTAATTACACTGAAGAGAGACGGTAGCAGGCCCAAAGATGTGTGTGTGTGTGTGTGTGTGTGTGTGTGTGTGTGTGTGTTTGGGTGTGTGTGTGTAATTTTTTGTCATTAAAACTGTTTGTACATCACTTTGGAAAACAAAAACAACTGTCGAAATTCTTAGTAAAAAGTAAAATTGTAAAGGCTAGCAAGATGTTGTCTTTCAATGTTTCGGCCCCTTCCCACAGTAGAAAATACAAACTAGCCAAGCAAGAGTAATAGAGAGTTTCTCCTTTGAAAAATAAGTATTTAGCCATTAAAATACAGTTGCAACAATTACTTTAATCCAAGTTCTCTAAAACTACATTTCAAATATGAATAATAAGCCATTTTTACCTAAAACTAAATACTACTTACCCTCTTGCCAGGTAGAAAGAAAATGAGGTTGAGTTTGGGAGATGCTACTAATTGACTCATTTTAAAATGGAGATGAACCTTTAATTTGATTTAAAGTATGCATTAAATAAGCCTCTGTGTATTTGGGGAAAGTTTAAGGTAAACTCTGATTTTTTTCTTAACATTGGAACGATTATACTCGCTCTAGTATCTTGGTATTTCGGGTAGATTCTATTCATTTCTCCAGCCCCTTCTTGCTGTGATCAGGAAGGCATTTTAGCTACAATATAGGTTTCTTTATATGGAAATAGGTGCAGTATCATGACCTTATGCTCTTCAGATCATTGAAGTTATTTGATCAATGTTGAATGTGCTGATATTTATTGGGAGAAATTAAAGATTTTTTTATGGATTTATAAAATTTGCATTAGAAAACACATGTGAAAAAT